GAATTCATAAATCCCTACAAACCAAGAGAAGTGGTAAATTACTAAGTAGTTGCGCATTACACACATACATACACACAGACACACACAGACACACACAGGCACACACAGACACACACAGACACACACAGACACACACAGACACACACAGACACACACAGACACGCACAGACACACACAGACACACACAGACACACACAGACACACACAGACACACACAGACACACACAGACACACACAGACACACACAGACACACACAGACACACACAGACACACACAGACACACAGACACACACAGACACACAGACACACAGACACACACACACACACACAGACACACACACACACAGACACACACACAGACACACACACATATACACATGTCTTCACAGGAGGCGCACTACGTACTAGCAATCTCCGCCGTCAACGTCGCACAGCTGCGCCAGGGACCTGCATGGCGACGCCGCTGTGATGCAGAGCGACGTGCCCGGCAAGGCGGCGCTAGCGTCGAGGGGCAAGTCGTACACTCGGAGAGTGTAGACGCTGCTTGTTGTCCAACCTGAAGCCATCCAACCCACCGCATACGTGTCGTGTGTCGGTAGAGGTGAGAGCAGGTGAACATTGCGGGAATGGCAAACATACATACACCTACATATATACATACATATATACATACATATACACATACATATATACATACATATATACATACATATATACATACATATATACATACATATATACATACATATATACATACATATATACATACATGTATACATACATACGTACATTCACCTCTTATTGCTTCAGGTGTAGCAATAGCCCGACACAGCCACGCACCGAAACCCTCACACAAGGCCGGGCCCCCCACAAAAAAAAGAAAAAGAAAGAGAAGAGGAATGAAAAAAAGCATTAGCGTAGCTGCTACCTAGTCTATTCCGTGACTGGAAAGCTGGTAGCAAGGGAACCCGAAACCCTCCCTGTAGCTGGCGGGCAGGGGTTTTAAGTCCAGGGGATGAGCGTAGGGTTTGATTGCGCTCAGAAGGCCTAGCTAGCCTAGGAGGTGACCGGTTTATGGATGGGGGTTGCCGAGTCCTCTCAGCGACACCACCGCCACCACCACCACCACCGCCACCACCACCGCCACCACCACCACCGCCACCACCACCACCACCGCCACCACCACCACCACCACCACCACCGCCACCACCACCACCACCACCACCACTACCACCAGGCTGCCATAACGGGGTATTAGGGTCGGTTGAAGCCCTGCCTGATGGTAGGGCGGGGGAAGGCCCCGGGCCCCCAACTTAACATCAAACCCAATTAAGCATCACTCTGCTGGGGCCGTCGCTGGCTGCTGCGCATCCAGTCATCACATTCCTCTTTTTCCTGCTACTTATTGCTGCTACTTATTGCTGCTATCTATTGCTGCTATCTATTGCTGCTATTTATTGCTGCTATTTATTGCTGCTATTTATTGCTGCTATCTATTGCTGCTGCTGCAAGTGTTTCGTCATGGCCAAGCTGTGCATGCCAGCATCCCCCACCAGCGTGCAGTTCATCGCGGAGGTGCGAAAAGCACACCCACTCATGGATGGCGGCCAATCCAGTGCTTGGGCTGTGCTGCGCGGGCAGTAGCACCAACTGGTGGTCTGCTCGGATCCGCTTTAACCCCATCGTCCTCATGGAGATGTGAGACTAACATTTTCGTGGATGGCTTACCTGTCGTGACTGTCCACGTCCTGGTTTCCCAGCTAGACCACACTGTACCCAGGATCTCCACCTGCCGCACTGCCGGCTTGACACAGCTGGAACCTGTATTTGGAGGAGATACATAAAAGGTAGCAGACACGTGAACCCCAGAGCAACCACAGGTCGAAGAAGAGGCCCATCACAGCACGAAAAGCGCAGCACAGCGCGGCAGGGAAGCCCGTGCCGGTGAACGGTCGTGCAAAACACAACAACGGTGCGGCATGAACTAACCCCCTTAACTAACAAACAAGCAGCCACAACGGCGGAACATGCGGCAGAGCAACGGCAGTGACACACGACCGGTACACGTTGGCGCCCTGTGACGCACACAGATATGTGCACTCGCGAACATGCACATGGGGAACGAAGGGACACACACACACACACGCGCACACACATATACACACATATATACACACACATACACACACATAATCGCACACATAGTCACACACATATACGCACACGCATCTGGAACGAAGTCACGGAATTTTCCTAATGCACGCAAAAGCCGAACCCACCGACGGATAGAGTAATCTGGTCCACACGTTGGGTCAGCGCTTGGCAGCAAGGCAGGCTGGGGTCACAACCGGCATCGGTGATGTTCAAGCAGTAGCGGTTGGCACTTCCAACCTGCGCGGTAGAAATTGGTGAGGAGGAGGTGTGGAGGAGATAAGAGGGAGCTTCAGAGGATGTTCGACACATATGCCCATACGAGGGCGGATACGAAGTCAGGCCAGAATATGCAGCGATGATGAGAGTTGATGAGTCAGATGGCAGGTGTGCGGTGGGAACTCCCTTTTCCTTGCTATACTCAATCCTGGGTTTCCAAGCTTTCCGTGAGGGGCCTTATAGCTCATCATATAGCTCCTCTTCGCGATGACGGGCAGCAAGCGGTTATGATGCGCTCTTTGCACCTAATGGCGCGTGTAATGGCGCCACCTCCGTCCGTCTTCTGTCGCAGCGGGGGCCCCTTCCTTATCACGTATTTCGATACGGCGGCATGGATTGTTGAATAGAAGTAAGGTTGGGGAAAAGGGGATGTGTGATCCCCTTTGCCAGGTCTTATCTGGCCATATCCTACCCACTCATCCGAATTGCACATTTGAGGCATTGGTTTTCTTCAAGGGCCAAGGCCAGGTCGGCAAGTGTGTGTTGTTGCAAGTTTCCGTGCCCTCGCAAGGCAAGCTGGGGCCGTTCAGAACCGCGACGACGCGAGCCCTGGGGATCGGGTCTACGGTGGCCTACCGCATGCCGTACGCAACAAGGTGCGCGGAGGCGCAACTGTAGAAGGTCGCCGATGCTGGCGGGTGCCAAATTCCCCTTTCCTCTTTTCCAATTCCGTAAAAGCGATAGACATTAACAGAAGTCGAATCGTGCGTGTATATCAGTTGGATGGCACGATGCAAAAGACCGAGAGGATTGGTTTCCGTGTTTCCGTCTAATTATGAACGAAAACCAGAATTGTGATCATGACGGAATGAAGAAGCAAGTCAATTCCATTTTGAGTCAGCTCCCCGTGCTGCAGCACCTGCTCTGGCCCAAGTATATTCCCAAACAATTTCCCGCGGTCATCATCTCTGTTCGCAGAGGAATGATACATAAAAGCGCGGCAAAACAGCAGGCCACGCCGGCAGACGTGCTCAGCCACAGGCCCCGCGCCTGTCCACCAATATTGCTCGGCCAGGCGAAGAAGAGATCTGTGTCAGTCTCCTGTCCTACTACCCGATGTCATCAACCCGAGCCATGGACATTTTTACCTCTCCACATACACACAGCGCAATCCGCAAGCTGGTTGGTACAATGCCTTACCCGAGTCAGTCCCCCGTAACTCAGCTTGAAGGGGGCGCAGCTGCAGTCGTATGTGTCACATCTGTGCCGATGGGACAAGGGGAGGCTCCTCAGGTGTACTGGTCCGGCAAGGGAATAACCTTTTGAGCATAATTGAGAGTGATATATCGTTATGAATCTTACTTGGCGTAAGGAAAGCTGGATGTCGGCGCCTCGACTAGGTTGCGGTCCCGGATTACGGATGTGCCATCCGACTGCACCCCGCCGACTGCGCGGCAGGTTGGGACCCAACAGAATTATAATACGTGAGCTTGAGGATGTATGATTTCTCACAAAGTCGGTCGTGAACGGAATGCGGTGACTGCAAAATAAACTCGCTCAATCACGAAGGAAAAACGTTGTTCCGAATTCCAACTAGGGCCTGGTGAAACGTTAAACGTCCATCACGAAGGATGAGGTTACGAAACGAATGCAGATACGATGGCTTCAGCCCATTAGATATGAGCCCTCCGACGAGTGTGCATGGCGCGCCTTCATTAGGAAATCAGGGTCCACACGCCAAACTCCCCGAGCATGCTGCAGCGGGAATAAGTGAACTCACTTGAGCTGCACAAGCCAATCAGCACGGCAACAAGGCGTATCGATGCCTTGCGCTGGCGCAGGGCGTCGGTACCCATCTGCCAAGCAGAAACCCGGACGTGATCACAGCCTGCAGGCAAGTTTCGGAACAAATCTGACTTCCTTCAAGTCTCAGTTTAAACTACGCTTTAAGCGGCATGTACCAAGCCCTACACGTCCAGAGTTGTTCAGAGCTGGCAAATGAAGTACTCTTGTGCTATCCCGAAGTGCCTCTTGATCCTTCGTAAAGCCACTTTATCTGCAAGCCCCATTCATTTGATTGAAGAAGCCTGGCAGGAACGTTCGCCGCTGTCAGGGCGGGCGGGTGGGCGGGCGGTACGTGCACCCCCGAGAAAAATATCAGCAAATTAACCAAGAGCTTAACGTCAGGTATAACTTTACTATATCGATAGAATTGCGGTATGTATGAATGGCTTTGCGACTTGATCTGTCGTTGATTCTTTTAATCTGCGATAGCTCCTTTTAAAGTTACCTGCATAGTTCGCTTATGTTTGGTATGTTTATTACAGTTACAGGGTAAAGTCAGGTCCCCTGCGATTTATGCAGGTCGAGGTAGGTGCGCTTTCTGCAGTATGTTTGTAAACTTGTGGATATTTGCGTGAAATCGAAACAAAGGCATCGATATATTTTACTTCTGTAAGACCACCACTCAGGTTTCAATTTTCCCGGCGAAATTATTCGTCTTAAGCCGCCCCCTCACGTCGGTAGAGGTAAAGAGTGTCCCTACAACTATTACGTAGGAAGGAAGGCGGGCTGGGCATATGATGAGGCTGCGCGAGGCTATTTCCTACTGAAAGGTCAAGACCGCAACAATTTGGAAGGCTGCAGCTGCGAACCGCCAGTGTAAACTGCTCTGCTGTGGCCGGCCGGCAGTCCGCAGAGGTCGTGTCACGAATGAAGTGAAACGTTCGCAAGCGTCCAAAACTCTGTTTTGCAGTTCCGTGCAGTCATAATGGCAATCAGTAGTTACAGGAACTACAGTTGTTCAGTGATGCGGCGTAAAGATGTAGACATCAGCGGGTATCAAACGATTGCCGCAGTACGATATCTTTCTACGAGAGACGTTGGGCCCCAACAGCGCACATTTATCCCTGCGTTCTTTTGCACCATCACAGGCATCTACAGCAGGTGCCACTGCGATCACTGCATGAACGAGACTTAGAACTGCTGGCTTGGAATGGACTGGCGATGTCCGGACGATGTCCCGTAACAACCAACAGTTGTAGAATGTTCGACGACGCTATACCGCCGCTACCTACGGGACGACGACTCCAAACTTCTGACACAAACACGGCATGAGTCTGCTTTTAACCATCTTAAGCTGTACTAATTACCACAAGCCAACGTTGCAAGCCTATTCGTCTATCAGGAGCAGTCGACAGGCATGGACAACCCCTAACAGAGGCACAGCACTTGAAACGTAGTAACGGTATGAAACGTTGATTTCTGATTCTTCAGCAAAACATTGTATGTCTACCCGATCATTGGACCCAACTTACCGCCGTCCAACAAAAGGTACCAACTGCAACAACATAAAGGGTGGTTAACTTCGACCTAATAAGCACTTTTTGAAGGTGGCAACACGACAAAGTGATGGTGGTAAAAGAGTCGAGCATGTCGGAAAGCTAAGAAAGTTCCCACCGCCGCCTTGCATACTTTCCACGGCAGGCGCGAGAAGCGCCGTACAACAGCCTTTGGCGGCATCGCTCGGCGTATTGTCGTATACTCGCCGCGATGTACCGGATTTCAATCCCTCGATAAATAATATAAACGATAAGAGTTATAAACTCCCTTTGGCAACAGCATTCTTGGACGCGTTTTGTGCTGCACCTTCCCGTCGAAGCGGCTTCGTCCGGTAATGGCTGCCATTACCGGACGTCCAACTTCGCTAGTCTTTTCCACAAGTCATCAAAACGTAATGGCTACGCATAGTAATTGCGGTCGTCGTTAATCTTCTTGCCCGCTTGTCCAGCTATGGTAAGCCTCACCGGCAGACCTTGTTTAAGCCACAACACTGGTCCTTTTGCCTTCTTTCCTTTCGACTGCCAGCTTTCAGCCTCATTTTAATAAAGCAAACCAAGGAAATTGGCCGCTTCAGTAGAAGTTGTGCCCGTTGTCCTGACCAATGTATAGCCCTGTATGTGGCTGCGGGACGAACAGAGATATACCAGTAGTGATTGAAACGCCGTGGGTGCGCAGCAGGTGCCGCGAGCGAGGGAGGGACCCGAGCAGGACTGCCTCGTTCGCGCAACACCTTATCCAGATCTATGCAAGAGGTCACGGGAGCGCACAAACTGTGTTATTAGTCCAAATCACAAATATTGAAAAATGCGAGATCTGAATCGATTGCCTGCTGTTGGACCCGAAGTAATCACGCGCTGATAGATATTATCGCTGACTGCATCCGGCCTGCAGTTTGGTGCTTCTCACCACGGACTCCTGACCATGTGTTGTATCCTGGATATATCGGAAGGTCTGCCGGTGAGGCTTACCATAGCTGGACAAGCGGGCAAGAAGATTAACGACGACCGCAATTACTATGCATAGCCATTACGTTTTGATGAGTTGTGGAAAAGACTAGCGAAGTTGGACGTCCGGTAATGGCTTCGACGGGAAGGTGCAGCACAAAACATAGCATGTTGGAGGCTATGAAATGGGAACCAGTACGTCTGGCGAGGATGTTGGGACGTATGTGGGCTCACCGAAACTCAGCTACCCCCTTTGGACGCTAATCTGGGCTGACGTGTGGTGTTTCCTGTTCTCCGTGGCTTTTAGGCGTATAGATATTGCCCTTGGGCCTTCGGCTCGTATGGGTTGTTTTACAGGTATTTTACAGGTCACGCACTACCAACCATGTAACACAACACACACACACATGATCTGCATCCGCTGATCGGTGCTTTTCTGAAGTCGTGGTATAACACTTGGTACCGAGCAGGTATCGTTGTACCGACCTGAGTTTGAATGCCAGCTGAAGCGGTTTCTGCCGAGTTGGAGGCGACGGGCCCCGCGACCGCTGGATATCCTGTGGGTGCTTCCATCTCCCGGAGAACCTGAGGTGGAATTAAGCCCTCTACCACTAGAGGGGGATAGCTGTAATATCCTGGACACATCACGGGATCTGCAGCAGGCAGCAGGCACACATACACTACATCCCCATGCATGCGGCTAGCCTAAGTTAATGAGGCAGGTACTATACGAGCACACCATGTATGGATGCAACCATGCATGCATTAGTCGTAGGTATTACGGCGAGCCCCAGACCCCAAGGGGCAGGGCCATCGAGGCCATAATGGACCGTGCACTGCACTGGCCGGGAATCCTGTGATGAGAACCCACACCACGAGAACAGCAATACAGCTCAACGAGAAGCCTGAGAGACTCTGTTTGGGATGCCCTAGCAGCTTAGCACACAAGAGGGAAGTAGCCTGTGTGTAGGCCCCCCCCCAAGAGGCAGCAGAAGGTATCAGTTCCCGAGAGAGGCAACTCCCTCGGGGCAACAGCAAGCCGTGGCTTGAAAATAAGGAGTTGTACAACTTCTATGGGAGAAGGTGCACTTGCACACCAAGGCACCCATATGATCGTGCCATTTGCAGAACTTAAGATACTGATGTGCGTCAGAGGTTTACCTGAGGGTTTAAACAATGCTGTACCGTCATGGCCGCTTACTGCAAACTCTACTGCCATCGTTCCGCGCAACTTCCTTTAGGATACTCGTAAGAATGTGACGCGCATGTAAATTTCACCTAGTGTATACTGTCCCCGACATCCCCGATATTCCACCTCTGGCTGAGCGCACATATGGTAAGGCACATCCCTATTGTGTGGAAGCAACAGGTTACACCATGGAAGGGGACATTGCAGCAGTACAGGCCCGGCTCCAACGGCACATCGGTGATATCCTCCAGGGGGGAAAGGGCCACCAGCACTGTGACCACCTGCTGAACATCCTCCAGATGGGGGAGGTACGTGTCCAAACCAGGGGCCACTCAACGTGCCGTCAAAACAGCCCATGGGGCTAAAACCGGGGTTCACGTAATGGCGCGGCCCCAAAACCCCCGGCTGAAGGACGTCCTGACATAATAAGTTTCCGGGCCAGCCCTGTAGTGTGGTGCTCCTCCGTATCCTGAGGTGCTAGGCCCTGGTCGATTAAAGTTCCCTGCTTTAGCCTCATTCTCCTGAAAGACAGTGACAGGGTGTAAGCCGCCATGCTCCATATGCCATATGATGTGATGTGATGTGTGATGCAATCCATCCATAAGCCGAAACCGTGGTTGCACACCACCCGAGCACCGAGAGGGGTAGTGCTGGAATGCGTTTAAAACCAGTCCACACCTTCTCCTGTGGGCCCCCCCAATTTCCTTCCAGATTGGCACCCTGCATCCCCTGAAGGGAGGACTCTTCCGCAAAGGGAATGAAGTTGGTCCAGGAGGTGTCCTTACGGCAAAAAACAGGGGGTAGTGGGTAAATGGTTACCTAGGGTAGCGTTACCCAGGGGGTAGGGGTAGGGGTAGGTGGTTACCTAAGTGTAATATGTATGTAATGTACCTATTTGTGTTACCTATGTGTGTTTGTACGAAAGGAGGAGGTGGGTAACCTTACCCCGGGGTAGGGGTAACCCCTTACCGAGGGGTTGCAGAGGGGTCGGGGTAATACACTACCGCACATATGCTGTATCACGACTTTTTCAGAACAGTACCGATCGGCGGATGCAGATCCCGCCCGTGATGATATGCCCCACAGGATACTACAAGGCGGCAGCCCTAAATCGGATGCAGAGCTTCCCCCTCCTGGACCAACTTCACTCCCCCGAGATGTGCACCTTCAACATTATTACTCTTGACCTGCGGGTAGCGGCTTAAGCTCCACGTTAAGTTCCATGTTGAGTTGCTGTCCTGGCCACTCTCCATGGACGCTAAACTTCCAGGCACTGAAGGAAGGCTGGGATGGCATCCTCGCTCATTATCAAGTACCACCTCCGCGTTGCCAGCAGCGAATAGAACCACTACTGCGACAAGATTAATATCCCCTTCCTCCGGACTCAACCTGATTCCCACTCTGCATAATCGCTGTAACCAACAGAGTAAGGCTTGGGCTGCAATTATAAAGGTATAGCAAAGGCGCTAAGGGACAACCCTGTCGGACTACTCCCGCAGATTGGCGAACTCTATGCGACTTGAAAACCCCAAGTTAACCACTGCCAATTGCGAATTTGTGTCTGACAGCGACAGCCGTGCCCACGCGTATCCACACAATGCGCCCTTGTCACCCGCCCCCATCGCCGCGTCCATGGCCTCCACCAAAAAGGTGCGCTCAAGGGAGTCGTACACCTTGGCAATGTCAAGGAAGGCATTCAGGCAGGACCTACCCTTCTGGGCCAGAGAAGAAACCCCGGAAGATAACACAATGACTGGCGGCGTTCCGCGCATCCTGCCCAAGCACCGGATCGTTCATTAGGCCAGATCAGGTGCTTGGGCAGGATGCGGGGAATGCCGCCAGCTCAAACGTGATAATTCCACCAAGAAAGGGATTTTCCCCCACTGGAAATAATCTGGGAGGTACCTGGACGGATGCTATTTGGGGGGCATGGCCTGGCATCATGCTGGCATGATGGGGTTTAAATTCAATTATGAGATTTAGTACACTCTATGGGTGCTCCTACTTTGGTTTACTTAGCTCAACAGGTGATCTGTCCCCAATGACGAAATCGGCCTGTAATTGCCTGCTGGAAGCCTGGGAGAATCCGTATATTCTTAAACAGGACAGTAGAACTAACCCTCATCCAGGAAACCGCCTGGAAAACCTACATCATTTCCCTTAGGCAGTGAACACACAGCCGCCATCACATGCAGTGGCAAATAATGTGCCGAAACACAATTCATGTAAATCCGTGGGAGTACCATCCATGTCCGGCAACTTGCCAATGCCCACCTTATCACCTTCAGAGACAGCAATAATAAAAAGCTCCGATCCCTGCGTGCCGAGATAGCTTGGTTCTACGGGTCCTACTTGCGCACCTGCTCGCGAAAAAGAGGGGGGACCACCAGTCCGCCCACAACTGCGGCAACCAACCTAGCTGAATTATTCGATTGATTATCCGGCGGTTGATTGATGATAGCTGGGATAATTTGTTGATGGTCCGGCGGCCTATAGCATCCTGAACCACGACCACATTCTGTCTGGCTTTATGTGAGTGCACCGTGGGTGTGGTAAGGTCCTAACTCGGTCGTCTCTGGAGTATCCTGGGCGCATCATCACGTGATCTGCATCCAACGTTGCACTGGTTCTTTCCTGAAAAAGTCGTGATATAACAGTCTCCCCCTACCCGCAACCAAGTAACCCACATCACTCGCCGCGCACACTGCTCACCCTCATCTCTGTACGCGATGATCATCTCTCCCTTGAGCTGAAATCAGGTCATCCAACCTGTCATGATTATCTGATTATGACATGCATACGCTTCTTGTGCTGCATTTGCTGTATGGACAGCTGCTTGCACGCTTGCTCCTGTAGGCAGGTTAGGCAGAAGCCGCAGAGGAAACCTGTCAGCACTGACACTATGAACTGCGACGTTACTCTTTCCATCGCACTCCTGCGACTTACAGTAGCCCGGTGCGGTCCGGCCGTATAAACCAACGACGACATTCAGCCGAGTTCGCTTCTGGCATATACACAGAAAATCTCTGGTTTTCTTTCGTTTCAATCAGAAGATCTACAGTTATAACACCTTTCGGGGTATGAACGTTGACCGCTCAGGGACTTGTTTTCTTTGCCTTCGATGGCACCGAAGTCGCCTGGAGAGTGACACATGGTCGCTTCACCGGAGAGCTGTCAACAACTGGCATGTCTACCTGAGCTGAAGATGCGTTTTCGTGGCCTCCAACTGATCCATTGCTGACTGTTGTCAACGAGGCCACCGTTGGCAGGGTCGCCCTTGAGCCGGTCATGCACGGCCTCGACGTCCTTATTTTCTATAAGGGATGCAACACGAGTTTTAGCATTGTTATACAGCTCGCTGATGCACGTCGCTGTCGTCAGTCGTCGACAATATCTTGGGCACACTATTACGAAGCGAGTTGGCATCCTAACGTGCGTAGCAGCGCAAAATTCGAAATAACCATCAATGTCATCGCTCACAGCGACACATAACCAGGCACACCAACATGCCGTACAATTTTAAATCCGAAAACCTTACTTTTCTAATGGCTCCGCTACTACGCTCCTGTAGGAAACTACCGGGAACGTTGCATTGAAAACCGCCGTTATGAAGCTCCTCGCCTGGACGTGGGTGCATGAATGTCGGTTCGATGATTATGATTATTCTTCTGTGAAGGAATTGCGAACAACGCAGCCTTGCGGGAGTCTCCTCAATGTTCATTTCAGCTATATGATCAGCTCGCCCAGGAATCATAACTCCAGGTGTCTATCGGTTTAGCCAACGTCTGGGCCACCCGTTTCCATCCCGGCACTCCTCGCCGATCCGTTGTGGCCTCTAAAACCTGGTTGATGACAGATTCCCGCGAGATAGGGGTCAACATGATGCGTTTATCTTTTGCACACATTCAATCCCGAGCAGCTGTTGAGCCCAAACCGTGGCTGCCGCTTGCAGCACCCCCGCCCTCTGCGGCATAAGCAGACCATCCACAGTATCCCTATCCTCAATAATTGTCCTAGATAGTAGTGGCCTCCTTGCTGCACTACTTCGCCTCGCCTTATTCCCGGCCAAACTATCCATTCAAGTCCATGGTTCCATGACCCAGATCATCCAACATAGGATGAGGGGCCCAAAGCAGAGGGGGATGCTTTAATCATTTGGTCCCACGACTGTCCAAGCGGCAGTCGCATTACAGCCTCCATAGCATCCGCCTCCATGGTCGTTGTCGTCCTGGTTGACTTGGCGCTGGCCTTTTAGTGAAGGCGCGTCTCCCGTTAGGTCTAGAGGCCAGTCGAAATGTTTGCCAAGCAAGGACACGTGCATTTTCGGCGAGGGTGTCCGCTGGTCCACTATAAATCCGTGCCGCTGGCTGTCCCGCTGGCTGGTTGAAAACGGGTCCGATACTGCCCTGCCTCGGGCCCCCTCATGGCCCACTCGATGTTGGGCTGCGGCCCCTGCTGCACGTTGAGAAGAAGTTTGAGGAGGTGGTGAGCATCTTGGCGGGTTCGCAGGGACAGTGGTAACTGTAGATCTGGCCCTGGTTGCTGCTGCTTCTGCAGCGGCGGCGGCGGCGGCCTGCCTTACTCCCTGCCTGGTCAAATACGGTTGCCATGACGGGAGTGCGTGGCGGGCAGGTGCATTGGGAACCTGCTGACTGCCGGCGGCATGAGGGCAGAAGGCCCTCCACCCCTACCTGTAGGGCGCCAGATGCATGTCGTCCCCTTCCACTACCGTTGTTTGGATCGCCTTCATGCCATACCCCAGCCGGTAGTACATGAGAAGTCCCGCTGCCACGCACTGCCCATCTTTAGTAAATTAGTTGATCACTTATAGGCGACACCGCTGCGTAACAGATATATAGGGACCGTCCTTATCTATTATACGAGGGTGTCGCCAACCTGCACCCCTCGGGCACGGGTGGCTGAGGTCCGCTGTACTGAAGCCATGTCGGGCAGTAGGGGCGGAATCGGATGGAAAAAATTGCTGGGCCTGACAACCGATAGCCGGGATAACCGTATCCGATTTCTGCTGCGGAAGGCTGTAATCCGTTAAAGCCCTCAAATCTCGCCTCTCGCTAATATCCTGTAATCTGAGGGGAGATAAGGAGGGCTTAGACTGGGTTACAAGAGATCACATAACCATCTATGGCCCTGGCTGCTGGCTGAACCCGTATCGCGTAGAATGTGCTGATGTAGTCATACAGAGGCACATCGGGTCTGTCCTCGAAAACCCGGACCCAGGTTTGGGACAGAAATTGGTTACCATCCCCGCGGATCAGACAAGGTGGGCATCATGCATGAAGGACGATGGCTGCTTTGGGCATCGACCATACCCACGGAACCGAGCCGTAATAGGAGCGTGAGGAGTGAATGCTGCATGTTCAAACAGGATACATGATATGCACGGACACTGCAGTACGGAATGATAAGAGCATCCCATCCAGCAGCGAGAAATCTGCGAGACTGTGTGACTGTGTGACTGTGTGTATGTATGTACGTACACATATACATACACATATTATACATATACATATACATATACATATACATATACATATACATATACATATACATATACATACATGAATGTTGCTGTTATTCATGTTGAACTTAAGGTTTATGTATATTCACACGTATATATACATAAACCTAAGAGTTCAATGATGATAGGCGTGAATGAGAGGAATCAAAGGCAGCCGGGAACGGGACATTCATGTTGTATTCTTGTTACATTAACAGGTTTTGCATGCGGGCGACGCAGTGTACGACATGATCACCATGTTCCAATAATGTTCCAGTATACTAGCTCAGCGAAATATGCAAATAAACACTTCTAGGATGCCGGGAAGGAAAATCGTATGAGGGGTCCCGATATCATCAAAATATTCTTGACAACGCGCACACATACAGACAGACACATACTTACACACAGTCCTCTTGAACAGGTATACACTAGGAACACAAACGCACCCACATACATACAGACCAACATCTCAATGGCAGCACGCATATACAAACACAGCTGGTGAAACAATGTCGTGTCCTGCTATACACATTCATTCAGCACGGTGTCAACCGGTCCATATACCCAGAAGACCAGCCCATATCAATTATAGGCAATCGCTATACCGAGACAGATTCAATTTCGAGCGCGCGCTGCTGCATCCTGCTGAGCTATTACTCACACAATCCCTAATGGTTGGAAACCGCCTGCGTCAAATCTACAAAACCAAACTCATATCTCATCAACTCCAAGCTACCAGCTGCTGCCAGTTAGATGAAGTTGATCGGGCAGCACTTGTTGTTCGGCGAGAACTGGTTCACCTGCCGGTCCAGAAAGAAGAAGGGGAATACAATAGATCAGTTGGAGAGAAGAGAATGCATGCGGTAAAGCTGCTACATACATACATACATACATACACACGGTATCGAATTACGCAGCGTGTTGAAGAGGAGAGTCTATCGCACCTGGCAACGGCCCAAGTAGCAGAAGCTGGACGGCGTGTTGCAGGTGGTGGTCTGCTTGACGTGCCAGCACAGCGTCGCTCCAGAGGCTCTCGGAATGAGCCTGGGGAGTCAGAGGTGGCAGGTGGCGGGTGGGAGTGGCGAGTCAGCAGGATATAGAAACAGGAACTGCGGAAAGAGAGGACCCACTAAGCCCGCGGCATACTTCAGTCCATATGTTTCGCGACCAAGAGGCTATTCTACACGAACTTACGTGTCGAGGTCTGTGAATTTGAGGCCGTTGAAAATGTTGTAGAAGGCCCAGCTGGGTGGCAGGTCCTTGCCGTTGATCGTGATCTTGCGGACATTGTCCTTGCACGCCGTGTTGACCAGCAGCTCAACCTGCAACAAGCAGTGGGGAACACAGAAACATATTCATTGAGAGAGAGAGAGAGAGAGAGAGAGAGAGAGACGCGCAAAATACGACTTGGGTGCCTAGCACCGCCGATGAAACTGTTCACTACGGCCCTAGGCGCCTAAACCATATCGAGTGACCAACTCTTACCTTCGCAAGCGACATGCCGCAGCAAGAGTTGGTCGAGTTGACGCAAGCCTGGCTGGAAATCCGCGTGCACATGGCGATGGTCGGGTTGCCGAACACGTCCTTGCCCTTGGAAATCTCGATATTGTTCAACTTGTACGGCACGTTGGTCGATCCGTTGTCGCACTTGTGTGTCTACAGTGAGGAATGACAAGTGGGAAGGGAAGGAGTGGGGAAATGTCATGTATACGTGTTGTGCTGCAGTTATCACCAGCAAGACAGACAGGCAGACAGACAGACAGACAGAGACAGGCAGACAGACTGAGATACAGGCAGGAAGCGAGTACGAGCAGCGCTGTTCAAGACCTCACCATGACACCCTGTGGAGCTGGCGGCGGGCGAGGCGGCTGAGGTGGCGATGGCGGGACAAGCGGCTTGCTTGGCGGCCGTGGAGGTGTACGCGGCGCGGGGGCATTCGGCTGCAGACGATCGCTGCACTGCATCTGGGTGAATCCAGAGATGCACTTTGGATCGGTCTCAGCCGAGGCGTTCACCGGAGCGATTGTTGCAGAGAAGTTGTAGTTCCTGTACTGGCCGGCGGGGCAGTTGTAAGCGACGGCGGACCTGTTGAAGATGACCACGTTGACCAGCTTCAACGCCAACTCCCTGACGGTGTTGTTCAAGCTTCCGGCGTTGCTGACGTTGCCGCAGACCTCGACGTACAATTTTCCGCAGGCTGTCAACTGGAAGTCTTTCAGCAGGGCGTTCGCAACGACAGCTTCCGAATCGAGGACGTTGATCATCTGTGCTGCAGCGACCGAGCAGCTGATGTTAGTGCCGAAATTGAGCGGACCAACGGTGGCCTCAGGTGGCGGGTAGATGGTAACGCGCGCGCAGACTGGGCAAGATTCTGTGAACGGCGTGACCGGAACAGAAGGTGGCGGCGAAGGTGGTGGCGGCGGCGGCGGCGGCGGTGGTGGCGGTGGCGGCGGTGATGGCGGCGATGGCGGAGATGGCGGCGGCGGCGGCGGTGGCGATGGTGGCGGCGGTGGTGGCGGTGGTGGCGGCGGTGGTGGCGGTGGCGGCGGTGGTGGCGG